CCAAAGCCTCAGGGAGGGTCCAAATCCACCCCAAAGCCTCAGGCAGCAGGAAAAGCACCATCAGCACACACAGACACGGCCCCAATGCCCCGAGTTCCAGGCTGGAACGGGCAGTTCCACCTCAGGCGTGCCAGGGAAGGTGGGACAGCTTTGATTGACCCCGCGCCGGCATTTCCAGCGTTTTCCATCTGTCTGTGACGTTCCAGCTCAAAGCCCAGCCAAGGGGCTCCTTCCATTCCCCTGTGAAGGCAGAGCAGGGAATTCACCCCTGTCCCGTGAGTTTCTGCTGAGCTGGGAGAAGCGGGAGACACCGAGAGAGCCGCGTTCAACACCGTCTGTGCCCCCTGGGATCGCACAGAAACACCGCTCGGCCTTACTGCCASCTTCACACCGAGTTAAACACGATAAAAATCACAACTCGCATCTGGAGCCGCGCTTGGCTGAGCCCAGCTTGGGTGGGGAAGGGAACAGGAGGCTGATGTGCCCGGCACAGACAGCGGGACAGGGGCTGGGACAGGGACAGGGGGAGCGGGGCAGGTGGGGATGGGAGGCACAGAGGCAGGGGAAGCAGGGGAAGCAGGCAGGACAAGCAGGGAAGAAGAAGGCAGGGAAGAAGAAGGCAGGGAAGAAGGCAATGAAGGCAGGGAAGAAGGCAATACAGGCAATGCAGGCAGTGCAGGCACGGAGCGCAGCCCGCACCCTCCCGCACCGCTCCCGGTCAGTGCGGGCCGCGCCTCCCGCGCGGTGCCGCAGCTCCAAGGCCGGCGCCGCTCCCCCGCAGCTCGGCCCGGCCCGGGTCCCGCCGCTGCCCCGAGCGCACCGGGACGGCCGCGGCAGCCGCGCCAGAGCCCCGCGGGCCGGGCCGGCACSGTGACCCCGCGGGAGGCCGCGCCAATGTCACCCGGTTCCTCTCGCCGCCACAACGGCGCGGGGCCGCGCGGGGCTCGGGGCTGGGCCCGGCGATGGGGCCGTGGGGCCGGGCTCTCCCCGCGGCGGTGGAGCCATGGGGCCGGAGGTCCCGCACTCACCGGCTCCGGGCCGGGGGTCCCGCACTCACCGGCTCCGCTCCGCGTCCGCTCCGCCGCCGCCAGGCCGCCCCCGCTGCGCCGCGGGAGGCGGGGCCCGCCACGGGGCGCGGCCAATCGGGGCGRCGGGGGCAGAGCCGCGCGCGGGGATTGGCTGCGCGGCCATGATTGACGGCGAGGGCAGCCAATCGAGAGCGGGAGGAGGCGGGGCAAAGAGGGGCGGGCGGAGCCCCGGTAGCGGCACGGGGCAGGCGGGGAGAGCGCGGCGGAGAGGAGCGGAGAGAGCCCGGTGCGGGGCGGAGAGAGGAGCGGGGAGAGCCCGGTGCGGGGCGGGGAGAGCGGGGAGAGCGGAGGGGAGAGCCCGGTGCGGGGCGGGGAGAGAGCCCGGAGAGCCCGGTGCGGGGCGGGGAGAGCCCGGTGCGGGGCGGAGAGAGGAGCGGAGGAGAGCCCGGTGCGGGGCGGAGAGAGCGGGGAGAGCCCGGTGCGGGGCGGGAAGAGGAGCGGGGCCCGGCGGGACTGCCCGGGAGCGCGAAGGGCCCTACCGGGGAGCCGGGACAGCCCCACCGGGAAGCACGGACAGCACTGCCGGGGAGCCGGGACAGCCCCACGCGAGTGCCCCGCTCCAGGAGCGACAATCGCCCCCGATCCCAGCCGGGAGTGCCCACAGCTCCCACCCGGCTCCGTTGTCCAGCACACCCCGTGTCCTGCGGGCCCCAGGGAGTGCAGGTTGGAGCGCAGCTCCAGCAACTCTTGGTTCGAGGGAAGGAAATTCCATCTGCGGGGGAACCCTCTGGTTGATCGTCCCCCAGCCTTTGGGGTGGCTTTTCCCCCATCCCAGACCCCCAGAAGTGCAAAGCCCGACAGCCACAGGCTGCACCAAACACGCTACCCTCAGCAATCACATTCTCCCCAAAATGCAGGATCTGGAAGCTCTGCATCTCTTCACCAGTTCTTGTCCACTTTGCCATGAAGGATCTGGGCCTTTTCACCCCCGAGGAGTCGGAGCAGGGCACAAACCCCTCCAGCTCTTCCCCCGGCAGGCAGAGGAGCCAGGCAGCCTCTCCTCCCCCACGCGGGTAGGGAGCTCTGAAGAACACACTGACCTTTGCAATCTGCTGGCAGACAGCAGGGCTGCGGGAGCTTTTACTCACAAACTCACACACAGGCATTTCCAGCACCTTGCTTTTCCTGCCACRAAGAGGCTCCACAAAGAGCCTGAAACATTTGCACGCTTTATAAGGTCACCATTTCTACAGAATATCACATTAAAAACATCCACTCGTACAAACAGCGGCGGCAGCGCAGGGGGAAGGCTCAGCACCAGAGCAGAGCTGGGGACCCGGCCCAGCAAAGCCTTGAGCTGAGACTGCAGAGCCTTTCTGGGCTCTGCTTTGCCCCGAGTCCACAGTTTGCCTCAGTCCACGAGCAATGACAGCRTTCCTGGATCCTGGGAAGGCTCAGAGGTGACAAAGCCTGGGCTTCCAGCTTTTCCTGCTGTGTGACACCACTGCCACTTGGCCCCACTTTGAATCCCACCCCAAAACAGCCCCTGCCCCGCTCCCCTCACTGAGGGAGAACACAAACTTTCCTCCTGGATGCCAACGGCCGCCTTCCTTCGGTCCACGTTATCCCAAATCCTTCCTTTGCTTTTTGTGTTTAAAACGTTACGCTGGCGGAAAAAAATCCCAAAGAAAGCAGCAACACCGAGTAGGGTCAGCAGTAAAAGAACAGGGAAGAGGACAGAGCACGTTGACAAATGCTGGGACTCCTCCTCGGCCAGCCCCTGGCCAGCTCCACGGGACAGGGACAGCAGCCACGGTGCCAAACTGTGCCCGGGACAGAGSCAGCGCTGCTGTCACCGCAGGGATGGAACAGCCCCGTCCCACACACGGGGAGCAGATCATCTTCAGCCATGAGATGACCCAGGGAATGAGCACTACAAAGAGTTGGTTTTGCAGCCTGTGAATGCAGAAAAGCCATTTCAGCTGTAGCTCCCAAGAAAAGGTCCCCTGCAGGCTCCCAAGGCAGGCGTTTGCTTGGGGTGTTCCAGCGGGGCGTGGGCACACACAAATCCACGGCAGGACAGAGCCTGGGATCCTCCAGCTCCACACAGCGAGGATTCACTGGGCCAGGCTGCCYTTCTGGCCCGTCCACAGCTCCCGCAGCTCCACCTTGCAGCCCAGGTCCCTGAGAGCTGCCCTGGCCACGTCGTCGCAGTCCCTGTGCGCCGCCCGCGCCTCCGAGATCAGATCCTCGGCCCCCATCTCCAGGATGGGCTGCGAGAAATCGCGGCTCCGCGCCACCAGGTTGCGGATCAGCATGCAGGCCTGTTTCTGGGGACACAGCAGGGACAGCCATCAGCAGGGAAATGGGAAATGGGAACATTCTGACACAAACAGAGCACCTCTGACTCCAGCTAAAGACTATTTTCTGAGATGCCGCAGAGAGCAGCAAACTCTTCCCTGGAAGAATAAAACCCATGGATTTTATTCCCTGTTGGAGTTTACACAACCAAACCTCTGTTGAAATCTCCAACACCAGCCAGGCAATGCCAATTMATTCTTTAAATAACACCAAGAATTCTCCAGTTCAGCCCCACCTTCCCACCCCTGCTATGCTGTTCCAGGCACTCAACTACTCCTTCAGGAAATCTTTTCCATGGTATTTTAATACTCTGGAAAGCACAAAAGTGGACACAGAACCTGCTGGAGAAACCAGAGGCAAACTTCTCGCCATGCAGGTGGTTTGGCTTTGGAGAACAGAGGGCAAAGGCTGGGTTTGRAAAGAGCCCATCCTGATTCTGCTCTTCCCAGGAGGAAAAGAAATGCCTGGAAGAGGAGCGTGGCATTCCATAGCTTTATCCACTGGCACTCAGGGGGATTTGAAAGCCAAATGAAGGTTGCTCTGAGCACATCGGGGTGACAAATGCAGGGGTGACAAATGCAGGGGTGACAAATGCAGGGGTGACAAATGCAGGGGTGACAAATGCAGGGGTGACAAATGCAGGGGTGACAAATGCAGGGGTGACAAATGCAGGGGTGTCGCTGCCTTCCCAACACCCTCAAAAGCTGCTGGAATCCGCTGAGCAAAGGGAGAAATGCCCAGGGAGAAGAGAGCAGAGCCAGGCCAGACCTGCTGGGTGCTGTGAGGGACACACCTGGACAGCACAGGGGACACAGGGACACTCCTGCACAGCCACAGGGACACACCTGGACAGCACAGGGACACACTGCACAGCCACAAGGGACACAGGGACACACCTGCACAGCCACAGGGACACAAGGACATACCTGCACAGCACAAGGGACACAGGGACACAACTGGACATCCATGAGGGACACAGGGACATACCTGCACAGCACAGGGACACAGGGGACACAGGGGACACAGGGACATACCTGCACAGCCATGAGGGACATACCTGCACAGGGGACACAGGGACATACCTGCACAGCACAGGGGACACAGGGGATACAGGGGACATACCTGCACAGCACAGGGGACACACCTGGACAGCACAGGGACACAAGGACATACCTGCACAGCACAGGGACACACCTGCACAGCACAGGGACACAGGGGACACAGGGACATACCTGCACAGCCACAAGGGACACAGGGGACACAAGGGACATACCTGCACAGCACAGGGGACACACTGGACAGCACAGGGGACACAGGGGACACAGGGGACACAGGGACACACCTGCACAGCCATGAGGGACATACCTGCACAGCACAGGGACACAGGGGACACAGGGACATACCTGCACAGCACAAGGGACATACCTGCACAGCCCCCTCCCGCGGGTGAGCCTTCATGGCCTGCAGGGCCGCCAGGGCCCCCCCGGCCTCCATGATGACGCTGCAGTTCTCGGGTTTGCGCAGGGCCAACATGCACAGRGCTGCACAGCCCTGCTCACAGATCTGCAACAGAGGGAATGCACTCACTGCCTGAACGGGGCAAAGGAAAGGGGGTGTTCCCTTTTATGGCAGCTTTTCATTTCTTTCAGTGTTTTTGAAGTTTTGTTCCGCTGCAGCATCCTGCTGCCCTGGCATGTAAACCAAGCAGGAGGTTGGAATAATGATCTCAGGTATTTCCTGCTTTCCTGATTCTGTGCTTTGCACCCCAGAGGTGTAAAACACTGCTGCTACTATCGATCCAACTCAGAGTAAGAAAAAATCAACCCATGGATGCTGGGAAAACCTTTACATTCACACAAATGTGAGACAAGTGGGCACTCACGGGGTGCTCAGGGTTTACACACTGCTCAGCTGCAAACACAAACACACATCCTGCAAACACAAATCCTGCAAACACAAATCCTGCAAACACAAACACACACCCTGCAGCTTCCCCTGAGCTCCCTCCCCAGCCCAGAACTCCCAAGGGGTACCTGAGGGTTGCCCAGGTGCTGATGGCCAGCACCATCAGCTCAGTGATTGCCAAGGGGTACCTGAGGGTTGCCCAGGTGCTGGCTGATGGCCAGCACGATCAGCTCGGTGCCCCCGGCACCCACGATGGCGTCTTTGACGTCGTCGTTCCCGGCCACGGCGCGGATGGCGCTGAGCACCTGCTTCACCACGTCCTGCTCACAGAACAAAAACAGATCAAACAGGGAGCTTTGGGCCTTGCAAAGCCAACCAGAACATCCCCAGCAGCTCCACACAATGGCTGTGGCAATGATCAGCTACAAAGAGCAGTGTCACCTCCTCACTACATGAGGGACCTGGGAAATCTCTGCCAGAGCATCAGTGAAGCTTAAAGAATCAAACATCAACCTCTGGCACTTGAGCATCTCCGTCCTCCTGGATCCCCTCAAGCTGGAATGGTGGAAAAGCAAACCCTCAGCTCTTCTGGGAGCAGGCAGAGCTCAGCTCTGAGAGGATGAGGACACGGGAACAGCTCTGAGCAAGGGGCTCACAAATCTCACCTGCAGAGCATTTAATTCTGAATACACGGCTGTAAATAGGCTGTAACTGCACCTACAATACTGCACAGGCTATGGCTCATCCATTAAAACCAATCTCAGAATGAAGAGCACCTCCTCCTGTGTTCCCCCCTCCCCAAACCCTTCCAGCACTCACCGGGTGCTCCATGCAGTCAGCCAGGAGTGTCACCATGAAATTTAAGCCCCCAAGGTCCACAATTTCTTGGCAGAACTCATTCCTGACAGAGAGGCGAGAGAGGGTGGCACAGAGCTCGCTGAGAACCCCGGAGTTATCTGTGAATGCTGCAGAGAGAGAGGAGGGATGGAGTCACTACAGGCAGGGAGGGTCCTGCTGATTCATTTGTTTCATTAAAAAAAACAGGAAACAATGTCTTTAACTCCTAAATGTGCCCCTAAAGCTGTAAAACACTTCCCAAATACAGAGACAAATAACTCTGCTCATCTGACTGCTCCACAGGCTGTCAGCAGCACCACGGTGCCACTCTTTGGCTCTCTCAGGGCACATTTTATCAACAGAATTCAACTSCAAAAGTGAGAAATTCCTGAATCTGAGGAGCTCCTGAGAGAAGAAATCACGAGTGATTCCTGAGGCAGCAAGAGGAGAAACCCTGGGTGATTCCTGATTAGGATCCAGAGCTCTGGGGTTGATTTTACCTTTGCCAGCCTCAATGAGGACCCTCAAGCCGTCGTTCTCCAGGACGATCATCTTGGCGTGGTCGTGGGCGTGTCCGAAGGGCACTCGGATGTCATCATCAAAGGTCATGACTCGCAGAGCCGAGGCCGCTGTCCTGACCAGGTCAGCGCTGTCACCGTGCTGGGTGATGGCCCCGGTGAGCAGGCCCAGGACCCCTCCCCTGACCAGCTCCTGCCGGTTCTGCTCGTGCTTGAGGCAGGCGTGGCGCACGCAGCGGATCCCGGCCAGCGTCACCTCGGGGTCGTGGCTCCGCTCCCGCAGCGTCCGCAGCAGCAGCTCCTGCCCCGCGGGGTCCAGCAGGTCGGGCTGCCCGTCCAGCAGGGCAGCCAGCGTGCCCAGAGCCTGCAGCAGCAAATCCCTGTCCCCTGCAGCCAGCTGGAGCGCAGAGAACAGCACGGGGTAGGCGCCGTTCTGGCCGGCCAGGGAGCGGAACGCCAGCTGCTCCTTGCACTGCGCCGCGAAGGCCGAGAGCTGCTCCGGGAGCTGGGCCAGGTCTGASYGRGCCACGGCTGTGCCCAGGGCATCCAGGGTCTGAGGAGACACCAGGGGTTAGATCTGCACTTGAACTGAGCAGGAACAGCAGCACAGTTTATTTACAAAGGCAATTCAAATCAGTTTGGTGCTGTTAGAACCATGGCTGCCTCAATCTGCAGCCACGGCTGTGCCCAGGGCATCCAGGGTCTGAGGAGACACTGAGGGTTAGATCTGCACTTGAACTGAGCAGGAACAGGAGTACAGTTTATAAATAAAGGGGTTAGATCTGCATCTGAACTGCACAGGAACAGCAGCACAGTTTATAAATAAAAGCAGTTCAAATCAGTTTGGTACTATTGGAACCATGGCTGCCTCAATCAGCAGTGTTTGGGCTGTGCCCAGGGCATCCAGGGTCTGAGGAGACACCAGGGGTTAGTTCTGCATCTGAACTGTGCAGGAACAGCAGCACAGTTTATTTACAAAGGGGTTAGAGCTGCACCTGAACTGTGCAGGAACAGCAGCACAGTTTATAAAAAAAGGCAGCTTCAAATCAGTTTGGTGCTGTTGGAACCATGGCTGCCTCAATCAGCAGCGTTTGGGCTGTGCCCAGGGCATCCAGGGTCTGAGGAGACACTGAGGGTTAGATCTGCACCCGAACTGTGCAGGAACAGCAGCACAGTTTATAAATAAAGGGGTTAGTTCTGCACCTGAACTGCACAGGAACAGCAGCACAGTTTATTCATAAAGGGGTTAGATCTGCACCCGAACTGTGCAGGAACAGCAGCACAGTTTATTTACAAAGGCAGTTCAAATCAGTTTGGTACTACTGGAACCATGGCTGCCTCAATCAGCAGCCACGGCTGTGCCCAGGGCATCCAGGGTCTGAGGAGACACCAGGGGTTAGATCTGCACCCGAACTGCACAGGAACAGGAGCAGAGTTTATAAATAAAGGGGTTAGATCTGCACCTGAACTGTGCAGGAACAGCAGCACAGCTTATTTATAAAGGGGTTAGATCTGCACCTGAACTGTGCAGGAACAGCAGCACAGCTTATTTATAAAGGGGTTAGATCTGCACTGAACTGCGCAGGAACAGCAGCACAGTTTATAAATAAAGGGGTTAGTTCTGCACCTGAACTGCACAGGAACAGCAACACAGTTTATTTACAAAGGCAGTTCAAATCAGTTTGGTACTATTGGAACCATGGCTGCCCCAATCAGCAGTGTTTGGGCTGTGCCCAGGGCATCCAGGGTCTGAGGAGACACCAGGGGTTAGTTCTGTACCTGAACTGAGCAGGAACAGCAGCACAGTTTATTTACAAAGGCAGTTCAAATCAGTTTGGTGCTGTTGAAACCATGGCTGCCCCAACCAGCAGCCACGGCTGTGCCCAGGGCATCCAGGGTCTGAGGAGACACTGAGGGTTAGATCTGGACCTGAACTGTGCAGGAACAGGAGCACAGTTTATTTACAAAGGGGTTAGATCTGCACCTGAACTGAGCAGGAACAGGAGCACAGTTTATAAATAAAGGGGTTAGATCTGCATCTGAACTGTGCAGGAACAGCAGCACAGTTTATAAATAAAAGCAGTTCAAATCAGTTTGGTGCTGTTGGAACCGTGGCTGCCTCAATCAGCAGCAGTTGGGATTTGGCACAGAACCCTCAGAGGGACAGGGACRCCCCTGTGCCACCACTGTCACACCTGCACTGGGCACCAGCAGCAGCTCAGCTGGGTTTAACAGCACAGCCCAGCCCTGGCAGGGCCCAAGGCCCGGCTGGACAGGGCTCAGAGCAGCCTGGGACAGTGGAAGGTGGTGCCATGGCAGGGTGGGCACCGGATCCCAGCCTTGGCACCAGCCCAGGGCACTCAGTGCCACATCCTGTCATCCCCAGGGCACTCAGTGCCACATCCTGTCATTCCCAGGGCACTGAGTGCCACATCCTGTCATCCCCAGGGCACTCAGTGCCACCTCCTGTCATTCCCTGGCACCTCCAACCCTCCCTGGGGCTGGGCAGCCCTTCCAATGCCTGACTCCCCGCCCATGAGCAAATTCCTCCTGCTGTCCCACCTGAGGCCGTTCCCTCCTGTGCTGTTCCCGGGAGCAGAGCCCAACCCCACCTCACTCACACAGATCATCCCCAAAAAGCATAAGAACCTCTTGGAAAGTTGATATCATTCCCAGTTTGAAGAATAAACAGGATTAACTGCGTGAAGAGCTCCCAGAGAAATGGGCCAGAGGCAGGAGCTGGCCTGGTACTGATGTGATTCCATAACCCTGATCCTGGAGCTCCTACCTGCAGGATTTGGTGCTTCTGCCTCTGCCCGTTCTCAGAGGCAGGAGGGCGCACAGMTTTCACAATATTGCTCAGGTCCACACCTAAGAGGGGAAGCAAAACCAAGATCAATATCGGYTCCAGGATAAGCAGAGTCAAATAAACACTGTCAGTTCCAGTTCCAGGGAAGATCTGTCAATTCAACCACAGAGAACAAAGCTGAGCTTGTTGTGAGGATGCTGCAATGCTAAATTCTGACTCTAAGGTCAAATTCATCCTAGAACAAARCCAAATGTCAATTGAGGAGGAAAAGCRAAGGAATTTACTTTCACTGACCAGATTTCACCCTCCAGTTCCCTCTAAGCAGTTTTCCAGTCATAATTAATCCACAAAAGCAGGTCAGCATTAATGGTGTCTCTGTTCCACATTACAAAGGCTCCTTTCCAAGGCTGGMTGATCCATCTTTGCCTGCAGCTCCTCATAAACCCTCGGATTTGTGAAACCTCAGCCCGATCTGCAGGAGCAGCTGATGTACAATACCTTGGGACTCGAACTGCTGCACAGCCTCTCTCACAGCCTCCTCGGGCTCCATCTCAAACTCGGTGATGTTCTCCTGCACCGCATCGTCGAACGTTTCCTGGGCGATCTGTTTGGAGCCCATTGTGCTGGGATGGGATGGGATGGGATGAAACCACCTCCGTGTCCTGCTGGTGAGAGAGCACGGCTGATTCTGGTGCAAAACCTTCCAACGCCAACCAGAAACAAAGCCAGAGGCTCGTTCTTCCTCWAAACAGAACCTCAGAATTCGAAATCAAAAATATACAGTCAAAGGCATGGCCGGTTTTTTATTTAAAGGGCAAAATATGGCAGTTAAGAGGGATAATGAGACATTTCAGCATCATTTCACGGTTTGAATGGGGTTTCAGGATTCTCGCTGCAGAACAGAGGGCCCCGTGCCCGGTAACGGCCCCGACCCGCTCCCGCCGGGCCCGGCCGAGTCCCGCACCCCTCAGCAGGCCCCGCAGGACCCCGCCCCGCTGCTGCCAGCGAGCTCTGGCGCGGAGAGCGCCCCGAAGAAAGGGGCAGCGCCGGAGGAGCCCCGGGACGGCCCCGCTCCCCTCAGTTCCCCTCAGTTCCCCTCAGAACCCACCGGAGCTCCCGCCGCACAAAAGGCGAGCGCGGTGCGGCCCCGCTCGGCCGCCGTACCCAGGCCCCGCCCCCGTGCGCGTGCCTCGCTGCCCACACGCGCGCGGGGAGCGAAACAGAGCGCGAGGCGCCGCACTGCGCACGCGCACCGCTCCCGCTCCCGCGCCCGGCCGCTCCCACGCACGCGCAGTATCGGAGCGTACCGAGCGCGCCCCCAGGGCAGCGGCTGTCCCAGCGCCCCGCCCTTAGCGCGGGAGGCTCGGGCCGCTCCCCTCGCTCCCGTTCCGCTTACCGGCACCGCGCCCGCACCGTCAGCACCGGGCCCGCAGCGTGCGCCGGCACCGCCCGCCTGCAGGGGATGAGGCGGCTCCGCRCGGCGCAGGCGCGGCGGGAGGGGGCGGGACCCGCCTGGGCGGGGGCGTGTCCAGCCGGAGGGGGCGTGGCTAAAAGAATTTGGGGGGCGCGGGGAATGAGTGAGGGGC